CACTTTTCCTCGCGATCGATGAAGTGCTTTGCCCCCTTCAATTCCGAGCAAATGAGATCGTATCAATGTTTCATAAACACTTCGACACGATCGATCTTTCGCCGAAGCTTACGATCATTTTCTTTTCGTTCCTTGAATCAAAGAAGCAATTAGTCGTCAGATCAAAGCCAATTCCAACTCTTGCTCGCGTCGTCAACGAGATCTCATTCTTCCTATACTTCTCTGTACGAAGATTGCGCGATGATGTTTCGAAATTTCGCAACGCGACGCTCCGAACGATCGATCGACAACGAGTCGAAGAAAGACTACCGAGTGATTTCCTTCGAGATTCTAAGAACTCGCTGCTGAATCACTGAGACACTTGTATCACTGCTTAAAGTACAAGCCAACTGTGACAATGGCGTGAAATACGCGCGTACTCGTTGCCCGTATGCCGATCGCGACCACCTCTCGAGGCGGCAGCTCGTGTGCCACTGCCGTAAGGTCGTCGAGCTTCGTTGCTTCGAGCGTATACTGTGCAAAAGTATCGTATAGTTTCAGCGAATAGTGCATTACGGTTTGCAACCTTTGATCCTTCGCCGGTCCAACCGTGGCGGTTCCATGCGTTCTATAAAATCGTGGAGGCCCGTCACTTTGAGCACGCGCGATCGATAAAAACCTGGGGGGAAACGAGACTACCCCTATGTTAAAATGACCTGTTACAATATTCCGTCTATTGCCGATGATAAGGGGCAAGCAATGTGGAAATGCGCACGTCTGTAGATTTTTATTTTTAAATCGTAGAATCTTGGAATTAATTAAATACATTGCACCTGCGAATATTCCCAAAATTCGAGAAACAAATTACCTGTGTCGTTGGAAAAGATCAAAGTTAAACTAAGACTCGAGTCAGCGTCAGTTGATTTTTCCCCTGCTTCGAGTCTCTCGAGCGTTGGTTTTCATTTATTCCAACGTTTAAACACACCCCTACTGTGACCAACGTTGGTCACGGTAGTTCAGGTGCCATTGACATAAAGGTCGTCAGGCTTCGTTGCTTCGCATCTGTACAGTCTATACGCTTTGTATATAACAGTAGAACTAAAGAGGTAATCACACTGTGCAAGAATGAAATTCGTTTATATATATATATATATATATATATATATACGTCCACAATGAATTACATGAATGCATGCACAATGCATAATCTATCGATCAATCAATTCGAGCAATATATGTAGTGAAACATATACGAATATTACGTTAATGAAAATTAAGAGAAAAAGCACGTAAGAATTTTTCTGGCAATATGAAGTAAACGCGACTGAATTATAGTCATAATGTATGAGCATATCGTTCATCACGCCAGTGATGATGTGACAGTAATATAAGGTCGTCTAGCTTCGTTGCTTCGAGTAGGTATATACCTACGTACAGGTTGTCAGAACGTAATTTCTTCTATCTACGTAATTCCACATCCGATGAAATTTATTTCATGTTCCCTTTTACGTAACACTTGCCATTAACATATGAAATAAGTATGCCATGTACAGCATATCATTTCGTGCAAATATTTGTGTTACAGTTGAACGCCTTGAATCCGATTTTCTTCTTCAAATACTCCCAGTCGCACACGCCTGCTTCACAACCTTCGTAATGTAAAGGTTTCTCATTTAGGTAAAGCCTTACTTTATTCGACGAGTCACACCTGAAAGAGAAGAAAAAGAAAGAGAGAGATTAAAATCGATCCAAACAGCTTAAATAAAATCCAAAATAACACAAGTGGATGTACTTGTAAAAGACGGCCGCAAGGTTCGCAGCGAACGGCGCCAGACGAGAAGTTCTCCACTTTCTGTTTCTCATGGTTTCATAGTTCGAAGCTTTCAAAGGCACCGAATCTTTTGCAATCTCCATCGTTGTTAAAAGTAATTGAAGTGTAGTACTATGGGCAAAGTAGAAAATACCTTGCGGCTCTTCGTTGGAATCGCCGTTCTCCAATTTTCTAAAATATCGTCCTAGACGTGGCAGACGTGATATTTGTTATATTTACACAGATGAAGGGAAACTCACGTAAAATGATTGAACATGTCCTGCAAAGGTGGACATCCAACGACACTGCTCAATATTTGACCATAACTGGAGTAGTAATAACAATAGAGATCCTCCTCGTACTCGAATATTTCTTTTTCACCTTTTGTAAAAGCGGCACACCAAGGAGATCTTTCATCGATGTGCCAGGCATTTTCGAAAGAACAGGCAGTATACATAATTAGAACATCATCTAAATCAAGTTGATTATATACAATCTTCGCTCGGAGTCATCGTATGAAGAATAAATTTACACGGAACGTTCCATACCGAAGGAAAGTCTGTGTGAAAAGCCGAGTCGCTGGCTAACGTTGCCGATTATCTCGCTAAATAGTGAACCATTTAATAATTTATCGACTTCATTCTTGTCCGATGAATTACTCACTTGGTCCAACCATGACTTGCAAATTTTATACAACTGAAAATAAGGGACAATCTCATTACAGGAAATTATTTCAACGATTGGCAATTGAGATTGAAATTTTTTTAATAACCTGTAGCAATGTGTCTTTGGAAGTTGGTACTACTTCCGTGTTGTTCACGGTTGCATTACCAAAGAGACCATTAATGAAACTGTCCATGCTAACTATAGTTCGTTCTATGTCTGTCGATCTAAACTATACAGATAAAATTCGAAATCAATTAGGTAATTATCATCGAAGTGTGTAAATGTTACACGTTGAAAGACTTACTTTGTATTTTCGCCTCGAGCTATCAAGCGGATAAGATTGCAGAAGTTCCGGGAAATAATCTTTAAACCGTGCACCAAGCGATGATAAATCTTTTTTACCTTGCGCTGTCAAATGCTTGTGCTTGTGTTTGTCAAGATTTGCATCTAACTTCCACGTTCTCAGTTTCTCCAAATCCTTTTTGCACAAACTGCCCTCTAATAACAAACGAAAGATAGAAATGAAAAATGATCATGAATTGGTTAGAAGACGTACTTACTTCTATATTGCTCGTGATTCTTAATGATTTTCTGTTGAAGTTCTGGCAAGTTATGTTTCATGTTTTTAATCTCTTCCTTTCCAGGATTACGAGTTCCATGTCTAATTAACATCCAAATTTGCATTGGCTTGCAATCTAGGGAAAAAAGAGATACAAGAATCAGTGCAAGAATTATTGTCTATAATTTAGAATCTACAATTTGAATTTTTTATTCTTTTACCAATGCAGGTGCTTGATAATCAAAGTAAAGTATGTATGTTAAAAGTCATAATTATATTTATATGGCGTGTAATAATTGCATTTAGGTTTATGATACAATAATCCTAAGCTGACAATCTGTGATTACTTACTTGGCACAGTGGTATTTTTAATTATACCGTGTTCAACTTCGTAAGCTGTCTTCGTGCCAGCCTGCAGATATGGATGTTCATCGTCTGAATAACAATACTTGACTGCTTCGCTCAAGGCTAATTCGTTTGTCAAACACAAGCATGCAATTAATATTGCAAAAAGTTTTTCACTTGACATTTTTCACTCTCCTTTTTGGACGAATTCGTGCCGTTTCTGTGATCTAAAATAAAATAATATCGTTATTTCATAAAAGACAAAATAGTATTTTTTTTTTTTTTT